CCCTCACTCTCAATCTAAATTTAATCCAAACTTAATTCTAAAATTATTAAAACCAACCCCTAAATCACAAATTTTTTTTTAATATTTTATTTATTGCATGTAAGATTTAAAAATTTTTTTTTGGTTATATCGAAAAGGCAAAACTCTACTACAAGTAAAGAAGAGAAAAAAGGTCTGATTCAAAATCAAATCCTTGATGTCCTTTTAAACACTTTTAGCCACTAGACTAAATACTTGGAAACTAATATTTTTATTCATTAATTTGGTTAAAATCACATGAAAATTATAATTTTTATGAAAAATTTTTCATCGAAATTGTATTTTTCAAAACTTATTTTTTAAAATTCTCAAAAATGAATTTTTGAAAATCTTAAACGTTGAATGAAGTGTAAATGGAATGTAACATTTTTTTTATTGAAATTATATTTCTTAAAGTTAAATTTCTCGAAAATCTATTTTCAAAGGATTTTTAAGGGCATTAAACATAATATGTTAAAAGGATAAAATTATAATTTATTAAAAAAATTAATATTTTATATATGAATATTCTTTAAAAAAATATGTTGGAGGTGTGAGTTGTGTGTTAGATCCACTTAATGTAAAAATTATTGACTTTGTGACGTACACGTGACATGAATTAGCACATGCGGAGAATGGCAACCTCGTAATTAATGTGCAAACCCCAGTGGCAATTGGAAACATTGGCTATATCATTATCATCCTCCGCGATCTACCACAAGACCTCGGTCATATCGACCAAAATCTCCCCGGTCCGCCATAAAAGGAAAAAACAAATCAAAGTATCAAAAGAACTCAAGCTAAGGTTCTCGTCTTTGTTGTCGGAAGAAAAAAGAGAGGCAGAGATGCTGAAGCTTTCTTCTTGCAATGCGGCGGACCAGATTCAGGCCTTGGCCCAATGCAGATTCCCGGGTTCACCAGGTCCATTCTCCTTTTGTCCGCGGAGCCCAGTCTCTGTTTCCTTCTCTCCGGCCAGCAGACTCAACCTGACGCTGGTTCAAGCAGTTCTGTCGGCCCAGCAACAAGCGGGGACGGAGCTGGTCGAATCCGGGTCCGGGAGTTTTGCTCAGCGGCTCCGATTGGGTAGCTTGACGGAAGATGGATTGTCTTATAAAGAAAAGTTTATCGTGAGGTGCTATGAGGTTGGAATTAACAAAACTGCCACCGTTGAAACTATTGCTAATCTCTTGCAGGTATTTTACCTTTCTTTCGTTCTTTCAAAACTTGGGTTTCAACTTTCAAGTTGATTTTTATTTGTTTGCATGCATTTGGGATTGTTTTAACTCGAAGTTGAATCTGGGTTATGAAACTTCAAGCATTTTCTGCTTTTTACTTTCTTTAATTATTCTTTTTACACTGGTAGATTCGGTGCATTGAAGCTTTCTCTGTGTAATTTGGAAGTATGAGAAGCTGGTAGATCTATAGATCTCACTGAATATATTAATAATATAAACGATATCTACATACAATGTTTATTCAAGGATTGATAAACAATGGAAAGCTTGTCATAATTTTCAGTTCAAAATGAAATTTTTAAATGAAATGTTAAAACTTTTAAAAGTACTGGAATTTTTATATAAAACTTCATTATAGGAATTCTACATGAGTTTTTGCTCTTTCCTTTTTGGTTTGGTCATATTGTATGTTTAATTTTGTTACAGCTAGGTGGAAAGTTTTAGCAACTGTAGATGAAATGAAACATGCTTTTTCAAATTTTATTTGTTTAATCTTTTGGAAATTTATGCATTGCAGGAGGTTGGATCTAACCATGCTCAAAGTGTTGGATTTTCAACGGATGGGTTTGCTACCACTAAAACCATGAGAGAATTGCATCTTATATGGGTGACTGCACGCATGCACATCGAAATATACAAATACCCTGCTTGGTGAGTATTTTACTCCTTCATTTAACGACATTTATTTATGGTTTCCATTTGTAATTTATGTTTGACAGTTAGATGTTGATTTTGTGGCGTAGGAGTGATGTGATTGAAATAGAGACATGGTGCCAAAGTGAGGGAAGAATTGGAACCAGAAGGGACTGGATTCTAAAGGACTCTGCAACTGGTGAAGTTATTGGAAGAGCTACAGGGTGCATCTTGAACTTCACTCCTCCCCCAACCCTCTTCCCCCTTTTTCCTTTTCAGTGGATATTAGAAGATTCATAACATGAAAAGACCGGAGGGCACTATAATTTTCTACACACTTTAATCCACAGTGAACATTTACTTTAAAATTAGAAATTATTCCCCGGTTGTTTAGATTCTGTCCTGCAAATAACCATCCTGCAAAACCTGCTGCTCTTGCCCATCTGTATAATCTATCGTGAATGCCATTGAATATCTTCATTTGTGCTATATCATTTCTAGATTAACTGTGCTGATATGAGTTAATGTGTAAGATTTGATGTATTCTGAAAGCTAATCATATCTGGTATGATTTCAGCAAGTGGGTGATGATGAACCAGGACACTAGGCGGCTGCAGAAAGTTAGTGATGATGTCAGGGAAGAACATTTAATCTTCTGTCCACGAAAACCTAAGTAGGTGCTTTTCTTCACCAGTGGCGTAAACTATAACACTTTTTATATTTTTAATTGCACAATTTAATGGGATGCTAAATAAATATGACATGATTATACTCCATTAACTAACTTTAAAGCAGTTTTCTGTCCAATTTCCGTTGCCCATTGCTTCATCGAAATTGAGATCTAAGCTGGATGCCTACTAGCATAAGTGTCTAATGTCAACTGACCCATAAAAATTTGCAAGTATTACCATAAGATTTCAGAGGCTTGAAAATGCTTGTCTCTGTGTGTGTGTGTGTGCCTGTGGCCTGAAAGGCTTGAAAATGGTTAAGAGAGGCCAATTTACGAATTTTCTTAATGGATCTCTCTTTTTTCATATACAAAAATAAATGGGATTGAATATTCTTGGAAATAGAGAGTACTATTCTAAACTGTTTTTGAGGTAAGGTCAGTGACACCGGAAATGGCTCTGTGATTTCAACTGTTATGTTTCATGTCAGTCTGTTGATGCGGTTGCCAATAAGGAAGTGGGAAATTTTGGTAAACTTGGAGACATTCTGTTGTAATTGCATATTAGAACTTATGAATTTATTTGCTTTGAATGTCTACTTCTTGATCAAAGTTGACTGAAGCTGGATAGCATAGTCAATAGTATAAATGCCTCATGATAACTGAATCATCAGAATTTGACACTAATCTTTTAAGATGGTGGACTAAATGCTGAAGTTGTTGCAAATTTTAGGATGTTTTGTTGCATGAAGTGTTGTAAAAATGCAGAAGACAATAGATGCTCCAGCTAGCAGGATAAAGTTTGCAACTCAGGAAAAATCCCTTTGGATTTAGAGCATGTATCAGTGTCATTAATAAAGCTGAACTTAATATCAAATTATGTTTTTGCTGTTCTCATTTATGCTATTTGTTTTAAGGGATACATTGTTTCTTATTTAATTGATCCTCTTCTGGCGTTTACAGATTAGCATTTCCGGAGGCGAACAACAAAAGTTTGAAGAAAATTCCCAAATTAGAAGATCCTGCCCTGCATTCCAGGCTTGGGCTTATGGTAAGATTATCTGATTTATCTAAATTAGTTTGTATACTTTTTCAAATCCTTAGTGTGCTTTTAAAATGTGTAGCCAAGAAGAGTTGATCTGGACATGAACCAGCATGTCAATTACGTCACCTACATTGGATGGGTTATGGAGGTCAGTAGAAAGGACATCCTAAAATTCCTCTTTCCGAAGATTTTTCAATATTGAAAAATTGCTGGTTTAACTGTTCCAGTTGATTTTGTAAGCTAACAATTATGCATGACTCTTTCACAGAGCATGCCTCAAGAGATTATTGACACCCATGAACTGCAAACTATAACATTGGATTATAGGCGGGAATGCCAACGGGGTGATGTGGTGGATTCGCTTACCAGTCCAGAGTCAATCGGGGGAACAAATGGGTCTGCAGGTACAAGAGAAGACTACCCTACGTTCTTGCATCTATTGAGATTTTCTAGTGATGGACAGGAAATAAACCGAGGTCGTACTGAGTGGAGAAAGAAACCTGCGAGATGAGGAAATAATTTAGTTTAAGGTGCTTTTGGTGCTTTCATCAATTGTCAGGTTTACCTCTTCTTTTTCTCAGTGTGTTTGTATTTTCTTATTCACTCGCGGAGGAATTTGCTTCAAATGCAGTCGTAGAATGTGTATTGTGGTGTGGAGCTAAAAATCAATAAATCATGAATTAGATATAGCATATGATCTTTGATGCATCCACATCAAAATCCACGAATCAGTTGTGCTTCCTTTCGTCTTCTGTTGCTTCTTGTAAGCCTTAATGTCTTATTTACCGAATAAATAATATTTGAACTTCTGGGTTATGAATCTAGTAACTTCTGCTTTAGAACAGATTTGTCTAGCGTATATGGATCATTTTTCAGCCAATCCCTCATTGAACCAGTTTTCTTAAATTTCATTTACGTTTGCTATGTGTCCTAGTTGATGCAGAAGAAACAGATGACATCTATTATCTTGCATCTTCTCCTTTGGATGGATCACCCTGGAAATGTTTTGAACTTGAATGCTATTTTTAAAAGGTGATTGCATGAATCGAAAAATTCCAGATTGGTTGCATGCAAACTTTGCATGAAAAGACCTATGCTTATGAAAAGGATTTGGTGCTCCATCTCAACTTACCGCAGTAATATGTAGTAGGTACAGACTGAACCATGTGAATAGGATTCAGGAACTAAAGTCTGCTGGGCAAGCCTTCTTGCTTCATCATCTGCTTCCGAGCCGGAGCGTACTAGGTAGGCACTAAACTAAGCTTTATGAACTCAAGCACGAGTTCCCATCTTAGATATTCACATTACAAACCAAAATGAAAGAGTATATAATGCTCCCTGTCGGTGTCTTAAATAGAAAGAGTTGATACAGAGCAGGGCTAATAATCCATGTTCAATTTCATTCACATCCAAATGGGTTATAGATTCAAGCCAAGTAGCCTAAGATCAGAATAAACATTTCTTTTACAAGCAGTCTCTTCCTTGAATTATCGGTTACACAATCCCACACATTCAGAACCCTAAGACTAATCCATGAAAATAGCCAAACTACCAAAATTAACTGATTCCTTACTAAAGCGGAAACTTGATAGAGATATACACGACGAAAGCCTTCATTGCAGCTTCTTTCACATGGTGAAGCAGCATATGCAGGGCAGATTACAAAATTTGTATTCATTCAAGATGTTGGAGGCCAACTCCTGATCCATTCAGTTATGGTCGCAACATTTCTAGTGATGTCCTCAATATTATCACTCTTTAGAGCTATAAGAATGTCCTCAGGGTAACTTTCTTTTGCTTCCTCCAGCAGAACTTGAAAGATTTCACACTCTATATTGTTTGAAAGCTTGGCACCCTCATAACCCCTGCAGAAAATGGGTTTTTTTTAGAAAACAAAACCAAATAAATGAACTGGAAAGCCTAATCATTTGGACAGAACGTTGGTACCTCTTACTCAACCGGTCATACAACACAGTGTTGTCGGTTTGAAGCACTACTACAAGATCAAGCCATCGTTCAGGAAAGAAATCACAACCATGATAATCTACAATGTTTCCACCTTCTTCCATCACATCCTCAAGCTCATTACACACCTTCAGGCTTGGACACATTACAATCATTGTTGAAAACAAGCAAGATAATAAATCAACAAAATATAAGGTTAAAGCATAGGGGAAGTAGTGAAATTAAGAGGTCTTCATTGATAACGTGGCATTGGAGGTCGTCGTCCCAGCCTTCGTGCAAGTTTTTCTCTCTGACCAAATCTCCAATATTGATATGGCGCAGCTGGGAGGCCTCCGCCAGAGCAGAAGACGTCGTTGTTTTGCCAGTTCCAGGCGTGCCCGTCACCAATATGTTCGGCCTCTTTCTCTTGTTGCTGTCGGGAGCCATAGTGAATTACTTTGGTTTTTCCTCTTTTGGGTGCACCGAAGGATGTTTTCAAGGTCTTATTCCAGGTTTTTCACCTTCTCCTTGACAACGAAAGATAAAGAAATGGGTTTTTTCATGTATTATGAATTCTGCTAAAGCGATTCGGCCCATTGAAACCTCTTCAGGCTTATGAACTTGAACTCGGCCTGTCAGAAAGCGTGGTCTATTGCCGCTGGAGGACGTCAATTTCAATGTTTTGAACTATTTCAAGTTCAATACGATGAATCAGTCTACTATTGTTTTCACTTTTCACCAGAGTTTTACGTTTTAATTTGCCTTTAAACAAACCGATCATCATGTGGAAGCACGAAGGCACCCGCTACTCTCACTTGGAGAAGTGAGTGAGGTAGACATACATTTGCATTCCACCAGTAGCCATCAGAAGGCTCCATGGAAATGGAAATGCTTAATCCCATTTAGACCGATTGAAGCTTGGGCCATCAATGAAGGTGCTTAAAATTTTCATCTACCACAATCAGAACAACCTAAGACGTAAACAGTTAATAGCAAATGATTGGTCCTGTAGCGTTAATGAGCAACATCACCTGCCATTGACCCAATCAGTTCATACCATAAGGTGAAATACAAGGGACCAAACAAAGGTAACCAAAAACATTGATTAAAATTTCTTTTTACTGTGCATAAATAAGTTGTCAAGTTCAAATTTAATTAAAATAACAATGAAGCTGAGGTGATAAAGTTCTCAATTAGCAGATTTGCATGCATCTAAGAGAGCAAATAAAGCCCGCTCAGATAACTAATCAAAAAGACTGTCCGCTAAAACATTGTTTAAAACTGCAAAACATGTCAGCAACTCCAAAATTCAAAGAATAGCTCCACTGACAAGCCAAATCCTTAGATTCTTTCCCTTCTCAAAGGCAGTTTGTATTATCTCTGAAATAAAACAAAAATCAACATCAGAACATAATTTAAAAGAATGAATAAAAATAGCATTCAAAAAGCTGCCACATATAAACAAAATTGAAAGAACATCTTCAAGGCCTGAAAAATAAAAGAAAAATATGCCAGACAGTTTTAGATAAATCCCACATCCAAAAAAAGAAAAGAAAAGCATCCAAGCACATAAGGCAGAAATGCACATCTTCCATAATGAATGTTTACAGTTAAATACATATTTCACTTTCAGCACCTATGATTTCATCGTCTTTCCATAATGGAAATTTAATCTCAAACCAAAAGGAAAAGATACTGAATGGTAAATTTACGTTACTAGTTGGGCATGAAGCTCATATTCAACTGGCCGCTGGAAGGAAGACCCTAATTAGTTCCTTAACAGTGACTCTTTTCCTGCAAGTAGGGCATTTTCCCTGGGCAGCTATTGCAGCTTTAATGCACGCCTTGCAGAAAATGTGCCCACACCTTGTGGACATCTCCTCAATTAAAGAACCCATGCAAATTGGACAACTGAAGGTTGGTTCCTTTGGAGGTGGCTGTGGCTCTATAATTTCCTCGACCTGCCAATTAAATAGTTATTGAGTCTTAAACATTCATAAATTTAATAAAAACCAGAGATTCAGAAGCATGAGAGCACATGCATGGGCAACAATAGAGATGTCTATTCACAATGTCTTAGATCTGATGACCAGCCAAATATGTACATTCTTTCCTTGAAAATGTTTTACATTATCCTTTGAACAAAGCACCATGAAAAGAGCTATTACCACAGTCGACTTTGCTGCACTTTCTAAAATGATATAATGATCGCAATTGATAACTGTTGGACTTGGAGGAAGTCTTCTGTGCCTGTTCTGATTATTATTAGTTGACCTAGCTGGTCGGCCTGGAAGGAGAGAGATGTGAGCAAAACCAACTTGAAACACCAAGTACTCTAGTGTTCAACTATAAAGAATAAATAAAATAAACAAAGAACCACCAGTCTCTAAATTGGTTGACCTAAGCAGTCACACCCGTAAGACTAGATTGGACAAGAGAGTTGCCAAGCAATAACATCTACCTCAGTTGAGGTCAAGATTTGCTTTGTTCTAGTGCTTGAGCCATTGACAAATGGTAAACCCCACCTCACAAACCACAGGCCCCAAATAAGGGTAAAGAGGTAGCTTTAAAAATCAGAGAATTGTGAATATTCTGCTCGGTGCTCGCTAATACTTAACATAAAGCAACCACACCAAATAGATATTTTGAGAAAATAGGGACATCATAAAGCAAAGTAAAACTATTAACACCACCTTTGATTTTATTTCCATTTTAGTGCAATTATAAAGAAGTATTTGATCCATCAGCTTCTTCAAATTAATTGCAAGGAACATAATGCACCTAGATTTTCACTTGGATTTTGTGTTTGGTTTAACCGGACTGTGATTGTTTTGCTTCTTCTCTTTCAGAAAATTCACATGCAGAATATAAATCCAGGTTCCTTTCCTACTCTTGTTAGTCATTTCAAATTTATCAAATATGAAAAAAAATGAACTATAATTCCTTATAACAATTTAAGGGTATGCTTATTTGTCCTAAATCAAGACAGAGATCAAAATCTACAAGACATTTACCTGCAGATTCTTTAAGTTAATGAGGCCTCAAGAAAGTAATTTCCAAGGAATCTTTTGACCACATGAAAAATTAATAGAATGAATTCACAAGATAGTGCATGAAAATAAGCTTCTGTTAAGCAACATGCATATGACAATGCAGGTAGCAAATGATCGAAACAAAATATCATAAACGTCATTCCCTCTTAAATTTAACTACCTGAATCTACATCAACTAAAACAGTCCTTCCTCGGCTCCTCCTTGAATTGGTTTTAGCCTGAAATAAAATCCCAAGAGAAATTAATAACAGTTATCATGATGCAAATAGATCCATAAAACAGATTTCATGTCCAGTTAAAGTGAAAAAAAAAAAAACAAACAAACAAACAAGAGAAGCATACCTCTGCAAATGCTCTAGCAGAAGATTCAATTACATCATCATCAATAGCCTCAACATCAATAGTTGCAGCTGGTGCAGGCTGGTTAGTCACTTCCTCAGGCTCAGCCTGTTGCGAAGTACCCTCCTGTTCCCTGATTTCACTGGGAGGAACATTTAGATCCAGCACTGCCTTCCTCCGTCGATACCCTCTAAGAGAAGGCCCCCTCACATCAAGAGTGCTCATGCTCTGCTTATGGTTTTTCTATCCACAAATACAATATCAAGCTTTCACCAAAAGCAAACAATTGTTGTAGTTGATTTGAGCGATAAAAGGTTCAATTAGTTTCATGAGAAAAATAACACTTGAAAGTCTAAGAAACTTGCTAATTACATTTAAACATAAAGAGTTCAATCTGGATAGTAACACCACTAAAGCAAACAAACCTTGTGATTTATAAGTGGCAAAAAGTCCAGAAAATGCACAGAAAGACACTTTATGCTTTTGATCTTTAAATAGAAAAGGAAAGAGACATGGGAATTGTAATAAAAGTAATATTCTAGCATAAAAAGAAGACCTTTTTCACAAAATTAGCTTTGCTTCCTTCAAAGTTCAAACAGCAACAAATGAGCTGAACAATTGATCGCCATATTTCCAGTTCAATTTTGTTTATTAAATTTAAATTTAATCAAAATTCAAACTCCAATCACTGGCAGGATAAAAAAATTCCACAAGCAATGAACTGTGATCAACCGATAATCGAATAAAAATTTTAAAATTTAAGAAATTTAATCGAATTTTATTTAATAGCACACATCAATTGAAAAGACTAAATGTAACCCTAAAAGGCCCCCAAATCTTAAAAATGGAACATCAATCAGAAGTCAGAACGCCAATACATTGAATCAAAACGAACTGGAAAGATAAAAACAAATTGATAAGAAAGAGAGAGAATGAGTGAAAAAATCGTACCTTGAAATCCTGACGAAATCGAATCGCTTCAAGAATTGAAAAAAATACCCCCCCCCCACCCCCAAAAAAAAACAAAGCCTTGAGAAAATGTTCCCTGTCTAGGGTTTTTGAACAGGGTAAGATTTCCAAGAAGGGACGAGAATGGGAGCAACTGGGATGCACCAACGTGGAACAGGAACTTGTTAGTTTTCTTGGACACGCGCGGTCGGTGTGACTTGACAATCTCCAGTGGCGTGATCTCTTTCAATTCGTACACGTGGTAGCTCGCGTTGGCAGCGCGTGGTGATTCCAATCTGTTACTAGGCGCGTCCACTATTTCTGCGACTGAATTTTTTCTATAAAATGCCCGAAGAGAATTTCATCGGATTGATGTTTTTATTATATTTATTTTTAATAAAAATAAAAATATGGGTGCTGCTAAATGCTTTCAATCTTTTTTTTTTATCTCAATTTTTATAAATTTTTAAAAAATTATAAATCTTTTCGAAAATTTATTTTTAAAAAATCATATAACTTTTTGAAAATAGATTTTTAAGAAGTTATAAACTTTTTAAAAAATGAATTTTCATAAAATAAAATTATAAAAAAAATTTATGATTTTTTAAAAATTTATTTTCAAAAAATTTTATAATTTTTCAAAATTTTATTTTTAAAAAATTATATGACTTTCAAATAATTTATTTTTGAAAAATTATAAGATTTTAAAAAATTGTGAGAAGAGTAATTAAATAATTTTGCTTACAAAAAATAAAAATAAATAAAAAGCTAAGGTGTGAAAAAAAAAAAACATTTAGCACCTCTCTAAAAATATCTATAAATGGGAGTCTAATAAAATAAAAATAATATCATGACTTACTATAATTTTGAGAAAATAAAATAAAATTTATTACAACATCATGTGAAATAAAAATATTGGAACAAAGTGTTTAAACAATTGCGATAAGACAAATAATATTTTTTGTGATATAATTTAAAAATATACAAAAAAAATTAATTTTATTTGAAAATAATTACTATTGAGCTTTAAAAAAAAAATTACTATTGCACCAATGAATCATTCCAAACAAGCTAAAAAATTTCACCGACGGTCAGGATTGAAATACCATTGCGTCTAAAAAAGATTGAAAATTGGTCGAAGATTAAACTGGGATTTTGCTTGTTTCTTAAACTTCCTAAACAGAATAACAGGTACTAGTCTAAGCATTCATGCATGGTCAATAGCAAGACAATGCTAGCATATGCCTGGTTGTTAACCAAATTGTACCATACCATAACCTTTGATCCATCCATTGACACAAAATATGAGGAGTAGAGTTTAAAACCAGAATGAATAGCATCTATGGCAATCGGCAAACATCCTAGAATGCTAAAGTAACCTGCCAACAGAGTTGAAACTATTCTGAGCAGATAACTATGTTAAGAAAACTTCAAGCACATCCCCTGACAGTTTCGACGAGCAAAAGTGGACACAATACGTATAGAATACAATAAAAGAATCTGCATATGATGTTTTCTAACCAAACATAATTGCAATGTAAAGTGGTGTACCAAAATAGACAAGTTAAGAGTGACAAAAGAGAAGATAACTGAGAGAAAGGGGAAAAAAAACATGTTTTAACAAACAGAATACTATGTTTATCATCACAAAAAAAGGCACACACACATAGAGATAATAACCGCGCTCCAGTGAAATTACTCTGCTTTGAAGGAGGCTTCAATGTATTTACAATATTCCACACAACTTATAACAAATCCACAAATTCAAAGGACTCATTTCCTACACCATGGAAAGCAGCAACTCTGGGGAAATGAAGAAATAAATACAAAATTAGGAATTATATATACTAAGATTTTTTAGAAACCACAAGCATTACAGCCAAAGGCTTGGTAAGGTTCCCAAACAACATACCTCAGAACCGCTGTTGGTTGGCTTCCGATCCCGAGCAGTGTGGTATGGAGATCGCTCACACCGGCATGCCTGGTACCATGCCCCCGTTGTTTCTCTCTTCTCGCACCTTATTAAAAATGTGAGTATAACCATCAGCTGATGCCGGGTTATTCTCATCCCAGTCACCAAATTTTGGTACAGCAGCACCTTTATCTGGCTGTGTCACCAGAAACCAGATTATTAGCAACAAGTTTTAAGAAAATAACAAGCTTTAAAGAAAGTGATAATTTTTTACATTTGGACTAGTTTGTCTCAAGAGGAGTCATCACCTGGGGAAAAGGGCAATGAGCAAATACAATAGTAAAAATTCACACAATCAGCCCCAAGCCAAGCAAGACAGGCATAATGCATTACCCATTTGATGCTTTATCAAGTGTTACAAAAAAATATCAAAGAAAAAATTTCCTGCTAGATGATAACATGATATAAGATATAAAAGGCTTTCTATGAGGCAAGTACCAAGCAGGCTGCCAATCATGAAGACTTCAAGTTGTTGATTAGCTATGCTTTAGGTTTGACCTTTTTTGGGAAAAAGAAGAACAAGAAAAGAAAGAAAATCATCAAGAAACATGTAACAAGAAGGAAATAGGACATTTTCAAGCCCACCAGCAGATCCACAACACACTTATTTTCAAGTTTATGCTATTTTTGACAGAATAAAATGATAGAAGGGAATAGAATATACACTTTCATCGCCTCTAGTACTCGGCCTCATTCTTGATCTCCCAGGAGTACCATGGCTAGTATCATATGAAGTCTTTCCTTCCCATGCAGGTGATGCCATGCTTCCTCTACCTGTGACCCGTGCCTGGTGATGGAGTGGGGATTTGTCTATACTGTTTTCAGATCCAACACTTGATCTTGTAGGTCGTTTTGGGGCTTCACCAGAACTTACTCCACGGCCATAACGTGAAGGTGTAGAGTCCCCAGAAGCTCTGCGGTTGACATTGTCATGATGTGAGGGAGAGTCAGCATATTGCCTGAGGTCAACCTCTTCCCTGCTCCTTCCACGCTCATGTGCCCTTCTAGCAGGTCCATGTCCTCCCACTGGTTCATCCACTTCGGGTTTTGCTCTGGAAGCAGCAGGAGCTTTAGTTGGAGCTACATGATCATGATGTAACTCTGGGCTCTCTTGGGGATCATTCGGATTTACAATCTTTCCTCCAGTGCGACCCTGACGAGCCTTATCAAAATAAGCTGTGTAGAGAGCATTCTCTTCACTCTCCCAATTGCCAAACTTGGGTACATGAGAACGTTGCTGCAATAGCAACAAAAGCTTGTTATTAGATAAAACACAAAAAAATTCTCCTCTGCTATTAATAGGGACAAAGATTAGGAGGTCATACTCATACATGGAGCAAAAATAATTCCAAGATCCCTACAATACAATCCCTCTTCACACACTAACCCCTCTAGCAATCAAGAGGAAAGTTAAAATTTCAAAATATGAATTTTCTCCATCTTCTACATCCTATTCAATCCACATTGTTGGATGCTCTAAATTTTCCATTATCAAATTAAAAAACAACAAAATTTTACAAGGCAATTTGATGCACAGTAGGAAACAATACAACATAATCACAGATAAGGAAAACAAGCAATCATGTGATATATAAGTTCATACAATAAACAAATTAAGATTCAACAAAATTAAAGACCACAATCTCAACCATCCTTAGCTCATTTCTGTAAATCAATTCCCTCAAACCAAAATTCACAATAAAGAATCTCAAAGAGATTAAGTAAAACTCAATTAAAGAACCAAAAGAAAAAAGAAAAAAAAGAGCAACAATCTTACTTAGCTTATGTTTATTTCTCTGGTAAAACAAAAAGAAAAATGGCATAAAACAAAAGCACAAAATTCCATAGTTCTTATCTTTCTTTTTGTGTTTTGCAATTTTCTGAGGAAACAAACAGAAGAATAATGTAAATTAAACCTAAACAAAAACAACAGAACATAAAGATAAAAACTTACTGCCATTTCTCTCTCCAGCAAACTTGAGAAAGAAAACCCAGAATCCCCAAGAGAACAAAGGAAAAAAAAATCAGCTTCTTGGTTATCAAACAATTACAAACAAAACCCAGAAAAAATCTACAACCTTTTTAAATAACCCTTCAACCGAAATTCAAAGATGAAAAGAGAAAGAAAGAGATAAAGAGAGCTTTAGTGAGAGAAAGAGAGAATTTTGAGAGAAAATTAGAATAAAGAGAGAGAGAGAGAGAGAGAGGCTTATCAACCATTGACCGACGCCACGGGTAATGTTTGACCATTCTCTCCGCCCCGCTCTCTCTGTAAAAATCTATGTTTCCTCTCAGTTTCAAACGTCTCTCTCAAGAGTCAACGCAATAAAATTTCGTCGCCGGTAAATTTCCACTGCTTCCACACTAATTACTTTCGTTGCCCATGCGGTGAAAAACTATCATTCGGTATTGGAAGGAATAAATTTGGCGCTGAGAATAGCAGCTTCACGGCTCCGCTGGCTAGCTGCTAACAGTCTTTAATTTAACGCCATAACCGTTAATGGCGGCTGACTTGTCATAAAAGTTGATGAGTATGTCTTTCTCTACGGTAAATAATGTTTTTTTTTAATATTAATTATAATTATCATATCCATTTCCGATGCCTTTCAATTGTTCAAACTTTTTAAAAATATAAACTTTTTTTTTTACTAAACTAAACTTTGAATTTAATCGTCGGGTTAGGGTTTATAAATTATATTATTTCTTCTTTAAGAAATTTTTAAGGGAAAAAAAAACACGTGTTGTCCACTTCTAGAATTTTTTTTTTATAGTAATATTATTTGGTATGATTCTTTCAAAAAAATACTTTTAAGGGTTTGGTTTGCAGAGTATATTTGTATATAACAATCATGTTCGTTGTCCCAATGATTATATTTTTTAATATTTTAATGATTTTATTATTATCAACTTTAAAACAAAGATATAATCAAGAATTGTACAACTATGGAGTTTTTTAGAGATAAAAATATTAAATATATTAGTGATTAACAACTAATGCTTAAAATCAAAGCAATTAATTATTCTATTATTTATTACTATAGTTTTTATCGGTAAACTTAGTGATAATATAAAAATATATATTTGATATATTATCAATGTATAAATTATATATACTATCAATGAATTAAATGATAATAAATCATTAATAAAATAAATCGATGATATTTCATTAATGAGTAAATATTTTTAAAAATTTTAATGTGTAAATTTATTTTAAATATTGATATTTACTTATTAAT